GCATGGTGTAGTATCTGGTTCTGCGTCAGGTGGCAACGCTTGGAAGTGAGTATTGAAAGTGTGAGGAGCAGCTCAGTGTCCACGCAAGACTCCCAGCCTTGGGACTTGCTTAAGATTGACTGACACTTACTTTATGACTGACACTTAGCTTTATGAAGATGTTTGTACTGTGTAAGTTGATGGACTGCTTAGCCATTACGTTGGCAAAGTTCTGCAGGAATTATTGCTAGACTTGTCAATATCCACTGGAATTAAGTAAAAATCACAGTTGGTAACATTTACCATTGGCACAAACTTTATCAGGCTGGTATATAATAATGACAGTGCAGTCGCACAGAGGGATCTGCTTCATTTGGTAATACCTTTACTTAGGCCAAAGCCAAATCTGAGGTAATAACGTCGGAGTTGGAGAATGCTGCCAGCCATGTAGCTGTTCTCAGGAACGGTGACTCAGAAAATATCTAGGAGCAAAGAGAATGAATGGTTTAACATTAACTGCTGCATAGGAGCTGGGCCAAAATCTGCTGATGCAACTCTTGGAAATATATACAAAAAAAAAGAGGAAGTCCTGTATCTATTCCAAGTTACACATTGAAGGAGAAGCTCAAGGTGCTGGAGAGAGTACAGAGTATAGAGCAACCATTTGAGAGCTGGATAAGAGCTCTGCAATAAAGACTTTTCAGACCTCGACTCATTTAATTTGTCAAAAAGAAAACGGAGAAGTGTCCCCCTTAGAATGGAGAAGTACCTTCAGAGAAAGAAAGCAGTAGTATGGACACAGCCTTTCTTCAGATAGAGAAAGGACACCCACATTTTCATGAATGGGAATGAAGTGAGTCAAAATTACAATGCTGATAAAATTTCATAATCAGAACAAATTTCAAGGGGGTAGGCAGGTTCTTCACTTCCTTTTATCTACTAAAAAAGCAGCACATCTTTCTGGAAGACGAGCTTTTACCAGGCACTGTCTACCAGGCTGTACGTAGGACAGTATAGTGAAAATGCATTGCCTGTAAGGTATAGGATGTAAAGGAGAAAGAGCTTAGAGTCTCTCCTGTTCTGAAGATCTAAAAGTAGTTTGTGTTGTAACAGATTAACCTTCCTGACCCCAGATAGCCTTGCAAAGTCAATAGCAGAGATTTCTATGACTGTGTGTAAGTACTCAAGGACCATTTAGCTGGTTATATTATATTCTATCATAAAGATCCCAGCTAATCATGTAGGAACAGCGGGTGATTATTGGGCGAGGCCTGCTCACAGTCCTCATATCCAGAAGCGGCAAAAGCAGTGAGTCATGTAAAACTGAAGAGCTAGAGGTTCAAGAAAGGCACCCAAATATGTGGGTTGGTAAAATTAGTCGGGGCTTCCCAGAGCATGGCTCTTCCCTTCTGCCACCCACCACCCCATTTGCTGTGGGGAATGAGGATGTCTGGCCAGCCCAGGCCTGAGCACTGAGGAAATTCGTTAGTTCTTGCATACCCACCAGGAGGAAGGGACCTGGAGGCACACGTTCTGGTTTGTTCTGGTTCTCTAGCTCCAATCTTACATTTCAAATGTGCCTTCTAAGGAGAAATCAGGGTTTGGGGTTAGAATTTTGGATTTTTGACCACACTCAGTGCAGTTGCTTGCCAGCTCCCTTAGGATGTTTACAACCAGTTACAACCGACCTGACTGTGTGTTAATGCCAGTCTGTTGCGGAGATGAGCAAGAGCGCCGAATTCGCAGCCATCAGCACCTTACTGTGCCCACAGGAGCACCCTCCTTCCAGGAGGGAGAAAGCAGGGCTGCCCCTTGACTTTCTTTGCACCATTTTACCCTATGCCAGAGTGACAGCCCAAGTCTTACTCCACACTGCTGCTACAGAAGGTACTTTTTAATTGCTTTAATTACTGTTGCTGCAGCCAGCGCCCAAAACAGGGCCAGAGGTGGGTGTGCCTGTGGAAAGGAGCTCTTCGGCCGCTCACCGCATACCTGCTTTTCAGCTTGGACATCTGCCATCCTAGGGTGGCTTTGAAGGCGACTGCCCTTTCCATCACAGCTTGGGTGCTTTGTCATTTGCAAACAAGGTTTTGCACCAAATGTTTTTAAAGAATAAAAATCTGTGTGTTGCCAGCCTGGAAACTCCTGTCTGCTACAGGTGTTAGTTGAATTTCCAGTTCTCCGACTGCAGTTAGGGCTTTCCAGACTATTTCCCAGCAACTGTGGCAACACATTAAGAAGCATCTATCGTTTCATGTCTTGGAAAACACCACCAGACAACACCAGACACCAGACAACAAGCAGACTAGGACAGGTTATGGAGGTGGCTGACTGATCCTGAGCCCCGTGCTTTTGGGAAATGGCAGTCCAAAAAAAAAAAACACATTGCAAATGCGCTGAGTCCTTCAATTGTCACATACTCTGTGAGCCCCACAGCCATGTCCCTTTACCCCGCACACCTGCACGTCCCCCAGCCTCTGCCCACACCCCTGCGGCAGCATTTTCCTCAGCTTCCCTAGGAAGTGCTAAACAGTTTGGGAATTATCCTTGATTTTTAGCTGTGGAAAACTAGAATAAAGTTTCGTTTAGTGATAATTTGGGTAAAAATTAGCAGGAAATTCAGATTTATTTAGAAGAGGCAGGAAATCAAGCCTCAAAATGTCACTCGGCATCATGCCAGAGATGTAGCGCGACATTTTTTGCAACAGATATTTTTAACCCGACTTGAAATTCATAGATGATAAGAATGATGCTTGGCTGTGTTTCCTCAGAGCATGCTGTCCAAAAACTAGAGATTTTTGCAATTGATACTCTAGGCAGAGCTGGGTGGGAGTTTTTGGATGATATATTTGATCTGCCAAAGCCATCACAGAAATGATGCATTCTCATTTAAACTTTTGTCGGGAGATTTCTCAGGTCCACAGTGGACTCTCTGCTCACAGCCAAGCCCCCAAAGAGCGGGAGCAGGAGGACACCTTGCTTGCTCTGGGTTGAAGACCCACATCTGCTAGTCTTAGTGCTCGAGCAAAACACCTAATGACTTTGCTTTCGCCTATTCTGCGACAGTTTCTGTTTGGCACGGACTTTCTGTCCAGCGCTCTGTTGGCATTCTTCAATTATGTGTCTCTATTAACATTTTCCAGAGATTATGGTTTTGTTCCACATCAAAACAACACAGAAGCCACAAAGTTCCTCACTGAACACAGCTCTTGTTCTCTGATGAGCATAACTTATCATGGAAATTACTAGTTTCCTTAAGCATTTATTGTATTCATCCAGAAATACAAGCTGACCCTGTTTTGATTTGAAGTATTATGCACAGAAAGGAGAAAATTCCACAGGGCACCACAAGCATCGTGGTGGTATGTTAATTAATAAAGTCTAAGAGCCACTGGTTTAACATATTAATGAATTTGTTATGCAGAGAAAGATTAAAAGTTATGTTTCCTTATTAGATTTCATGAGTGTGTGGTGCTTTTTTTTTCAAAATTATTTGTAATGCTTTTATTATAATTATTTGTTATATCTTGTGTCTTACAAACACTTTCAAAATGCTTTACCGTGTTTCTAACAGTGTAGCTGTTTTTGGTGATTCTTTCGGCAGAAGGAAGAACCAATAAAGGGATATAGGTTGGATGAATATATTCGGAATTTTAGGTCAGAGCTAAGGGGATAGGCACTAGAAAAGGGACCCTTGTATAACTGAGGACCTACAGAGAGTGAGATCTGATAGCAACCAAAGGAGGGTGTAAGGAGGTAGGTCAGAAGAGACGGAAGGAAATAATTGATTTTTTTCCAAAGGGTTTTAAACATGAAGACCCTGCTGAGATCAATGTCAGTGTGAATTGGGCGAGGGGTGAATAGACCTGGGGGCGGTCTGATGTGGGCACTGTGGCTGCACGTCTTCAGTGATGCCAGGAGGACGAGCTGCGCTCTTACATCTGCTGCAGTGAGACGAGCGGAGGTAATCGCCCGGCTCGGGAGGATGGAGCCTGTCCTGCGCTGTGGGCTGCGTGCCGGGGGACGCACACAGAAATGTCACACACTGACTCGCGAGGCTCGGGGCTGCTGCCAGCGCCGGCCAGCCCGGCTCGCGGGGCGGTGAGACCGGAGCCACCTCTTCCAACGGAGAGGAGGTGGCATTTCACTGCACAAAGCACATCGGGAGGCATTTGTCAGCTCGCAGGCTCTGGTTCAGCCCGTGATAACCTCGCGTGGGTTGAATCAGCCCTCGGGCAGGATACAGCTGCAGAGAGCGGAGAAGTGGCTCCTCCGCCAAAGGCCGGTGAGAGAACAGACAGGCGGGGGCTGCAGCGCCATTGGCAAATATTGCCTTAGCAAACACGGGGCAGCTTCACACGCTGCTCTGCGCCGGCCGAGAGCACCTTGAACACATCAAGGAAAAGGCTGAAGCTCCCAGAGCAGTTTCAGCCTTACGTTGAAAGCGGTTTGGTCAGACTGCTTTGGCTGGGCCTTTTGTGATTCTTTAGGGTATTAACCATGGCCAGTTTTACATGAGCAGTAGTTACGCAAACCTGCTGACTGGACTTAAAATCCCTTTGTAGAATATTACCCAGCTGCTTTTCCTGTACAAGTCCACATAATTGGTTTCAAATTTTAGAGTTTTCTTCACAAGAAAGACAAAAAAAAAAACAACTGTTGGTGGGGGGGGAGAGGAAATGGATATTTACAGTCCTTCACTATAGTGTATATTTTGACATCACTGCAGCGCAAGAAAGCTCTAGCTAAATACAAAGACCAGGCAAAAAGCAAAAGGCAGGTATTCCTAGCGCAGCTCCCGAGCGCCAGGAGAGCCCGGGGCCATGAGCGAGGGGCACCGTGTGCCTGGGGCAGCAGCTTGCACCGCAGCAGTAACAGCACGTGGACAGAGCGGCGGGTGGTGACAGTGTTCCCAAGGTGAAACGCTTCATGACTGCAAGTCGATTTAGGAATACACCCACAAAAGTCCCGAGGTTACTGTTGAGCTGATTTGGGGGCTGGCTGAAGTCAGGTTATTGCTTTCCTTGAGGTTTTCTGGAAAAGGTTATGGAAAACAGTCTTGTTCTTACCCCGTACTCAGGTCTCTTCACTACCCTGCCTGCAGAAAAGGTGTATAATATGCCCTTTAAAACCTGTTTAGCTAGTCTCTACCCATTTACCACTATTAGTGTGAATGGCCTTAGTAAACAGAACTCAGCTCAGTATAATTATTCTTTATTTTAACACATAAATATATTCAAAATGTTTGGGATAAGAATGTAAATTATTTACATTTCTGGAAGCATCAAGAGTCAGATCCTGCCGTAGTTACAGTAGGTAAATACTGGTGCAGCTCCCTAAAATCAGTAAAATTATTCTCCATTTACATTATCAGATTTGAAGCTATGAATTCAAAACCTAACCACATGGAGTCTGGTTTGGCAGTACTCACAGAGAACCTTAACCAACTCTACAGCTATTTAAAGGTATCTGTAGCTCTCTGTCCCGGGGAAAAAAAAAAAAAGGTGTTATTAAATTCCGATCTTACAGCCCTACAAGGTTAGAAGCCAGTGCTTCCACCTCATTGGAAAATAGCAAACTCTTCTTTGTGTGGCACTGGGCTATTATTTCCTAGTCATAAGATGATAGTCCTTAAATCCCTGGCTGGCTTAAGTTTACTTACTGAATCACACATTGTGAGTCTGAGATAAGGTATACAGGGGGAGAATTTAAGCTTGAAAAAAGGAAATATTTCCCAAATCTAGCCTCTGTTTGCATCTACAGAGCAGTTTGGCACGTTATAGAGGTGGCCCCTTGGGAGAAGGAGTAACACTGCGCTTCTATTTTCGCCCAGAACAGGGCTCGGCAGAGGGATAATGCCGGAGTATCAGTGCGTATCTGCTCCCTCACTGTTATTTTCTCAGCGTAAGGAGAAGGCGAAGGCTGGCAGGGACAAGCTGGAGGCAGCTGGCCTGCCGCAGTATCTGCCAGGTGGGCTGGGGGTCTTGATCACATACCTTCTAAAATAGATGGCTGCCAACCTGCAATGTCAGTCATGCTGCGGCTGCTCTTTGCAGAGGGACAACTCTGTTTCTGCCAGCTGCTTGGCCTGATTTGGCCTTTTTTATGAGAGCCCAGCGTAGCATGACGATGCAGCTGATTCACTGCCACATCGCATGGGTATGGGCTGCAATCACAGTGTCTCAGGGAAAACAAGGGGAGGGCAGGAGTACAAACTCCCTCTCTGCTGCTCAGCTTGACTTTGGGGACTTGAAAGGAAGGAGTGTGCTACATTTTAAATATCCACATATATACCCTTACCTTCAATGGTTAGTTTTTAGTATTTTAGAAAGGAGCTGTTTTTCTGGCCAGGCAAGAGTTATGCTGCACTGTATAGTAATACTACAAAATTTTAAAATAAATGTTCTTGAATCTGGTAATTTTCCTGATGTCCTCCAGGCGAGCGATGTCCATCACTTGGTATGTCTGAGGGCAGGAACCTCAGTGTCACAGCACCAGCAGAAGGGGAGCGAGGGTGTGCGGGGCAATAAGCCGCAGCAGGTCCCTCCCACTCAAACAACTTATCTCCCCGAGGCGAGGAGGAAAACCGGGATGGAGTTTCATCCTGAGATCTCTGTCCGGGGCACGGTGTTTCTGGGAAGCCTGTATATATTCACATTTATATTAAATAGGGTGGTGTCCTCATCCTCAGGCAATTGGGAGCAGAATCAGATAGAGCCTCAAAAGCAAAAGTTGTTATGTGTGTTATGTAAAAGAGTGTGACTGACAGGTTCTTCTCTCCCCACTTCTCTTTCTGTCTCCCCCCTTTCCCTGGTGGTGTGATTCAAAGCAACGCCCCGTGAAGCAGTCCCTGAGCGCCTGCATGTGCAGAGAGTCCCACTGGAAATGCCTCCTGCTCTCCATCCTCATGTACGGTTGTCTGGGAGCGGTAGCCTGGTGTCAGCTGGCTCGGGTCACCAAGCTCAGCTTTGATAGCTCCTTCAAGGGCAAGTCTATGATCTACCATGACAGCCCATGCTCAGATGGCTACGTCTACATCCCTTTGGCCTTCCTCTCCATGCTGTATGTGGTATACCTGGTGGAGTGCTGGCACTGCCATGTCAAGAGGGAGCTGCAGTACAAGGCTGACGTGGACAGTGTCTACGAATGCATCAACCGCATGCAGCAAGCCACCCCATGCATCTGGTGGAAGGCCATCAGCTACCATTTTGTTCGGCGTACCCGACAGGTGACTCGGTACCGCAACGGTGATGCCTACACCACCACGCAAGTCTACCATGAAAGGGTCAACACCCATGTGGCCGAAGCTGAATTTGACTATTCTCACTGTGGATACAAAGACATCTCCAAAGAGCTCCTGGGCTTGGAGAGCTACACAGCCACTAAGCTGAGGTTCACAAAATGCTTCAGCTTTGCCAACATTGAGTCTGAGAACTCTTATTTGACCCAGAGGGCTCACTTTTTCACAGAGATTGAGGGGCTGGATGACTACATGGAAGTGAGGGAAGGCATGCAACTCAAAAATGTGGACTTTAAGGAACTGATGATGGCCTACGGGGATCCAGATCACCTCCCATGGTATGTGTCTCACTATGCCTTCTGGGTAGCAGCTATCTTGATGATCTCATGGCCACTTAGGGTGCTCATAGAGTATCGGACTGCTTATGTTCACTACCACGTGGAGAAACTGCTGGGCCTGGAGTACACGGCACCGGCTGCGACGGAGGAGCCCTTGTACAGGTATCGCATGCCCAGGGACAGCACTCAGGACAGCACGGAGCTGGAGTGGCACATCTGCACCAATCGGCAGCTGATCCCCAGCTACTCGGAGGCCATGCTCATGGACCTGACGGACTCCCCGGCGTACAACAGCTACACGGTGTGTCAGTACAGCGAGGCGGCCCACGGCTGCGAGCGCTGCAACCGTGCCTCCAGCACCTCGTCCATCTTCTCACGCCACGCTTTCCACAGCTGCAGCGGCAACTCACGCCTCTCCCTCAACACGAGCCGCTTCTCCCTCTGCCGCATCCACGGCTCCCACAGGACAGGCCTCTGGAGAAGCCGCAGCAGCAGCATTGCTGAGCGGGGCTGCCACGACGAACAGTGCTGCTCCTACTCCAGCCAGCTGGCTGTCAATGAAAACCCCCCAACCTACCATGACGCCCGCTTCTTCCCCGTGCTCATCGTGCACAGGCCCGAGGCGCACGACAGAAGGCATTTCTACATCAGACGCTCCTCCTGCCTGGAAACGTCACTGTGATGTGTCTCTGCGGCCTCCTGGCTCCTCTGACCCGGGACAGATCCACCATGTTTGCAGAGATGCTGCTGGCAAGGAGGTATAAGCTTCGGACCCCGCACTATGTTCTCCAGGAGAAGTTCCTGATCTCAGTTCTCGCTGATATTGCAATAGGATATATTCACTCCAACAAATAGCTAACTTAATTTCCAAAAGGTTCTCTGCCTCCTTCAGGTGATCTCCGATTCATTCTCTTCTCTCTTCCTTTCGTTATTTTGCTCCTCACTCTCTTCCCTGGCTCTCTGCCCATCCTGCTCTCAACCTTTTTCTTATTGTTTACTCAGAGTATCTCACAGCTGTTTCCACTGGAGAATTTTTAAAGCCTTTGCTTTGCAGTGTATTTGCTCTCTTGGATGCCTCGCAAGGTAAGAAAGTTAGATATAGCAAGGGCAAGTGAAACACTAACAGACACATGGCCTGTTACTGTTAAGTCAGAAGGATAATTCATATCTGCAGGATCTGAGTCAACTGCTGTAAAGTCCAAACTTGGCTTTTTAAATTTCTTCTCTCTTCACAAATCTTTTATTCATCTTCTCATTTATTATTTCCTTTTTTTCACTTTCTACTCTTCTCTTCTACTCCTCATCTTTCTCTTCTTTTTTTTTTTTCCCCTCTCTTCTCCTTACTTCTGCTTTCCAATTCATCCAATTTGTCTTAATACCATTTTCTTTCTTTTTTTTTTTTTTCTGACAGTGAGGGCATTTTTTCAGGACATAATCGGTTTCCCTTGGCAAAAGAACAAACAGACAAAAACAGTATCTGCAACACAAATTTCACCGGCCACTGGCACAAGCACAGGAAATGTCCCTTGCCCTGGGAAGTTCTCAGGACTTCCACTCCAGAGCAACAAAATGCACTGATAAAGCAAAAATCATGCCCTTTTCTAACCTTGCCCTGCCTGTCCTACAGTGGAGACAGTCTGCAACCTTTCCAGCTGTAGTTAACCTTGTTATGGTTCACCAGTGTTAGCAATTGTTGGGAGCCACAGTGTAGATCAGTGTCCTGTTAGCACCATTATATTTAGGACCATCGGCCTGGTTTGTGGTTATTTAATCCTACTACTTGTTCAGAGCTGAAGGAGCTGGAAGAGAGGAGAAAAGCAGGGGGAAAAAAAGGTAAATATGGTATAAACCCCCAAAACATACCCACTGACAGTCTGGAGTTGCCAGGAAGCTCTTGCACCCAGAGTGTACATGGGAGCAATCCCAGGGGTGCTCGACTTCACCTTGCACTTCCTTGTGCCCCAGGGAGGAGTTTCAGCATGGAGCCTGCTGCTGCCATCCCACTTGGGTCTGGGGTCAGGACAACAACGGGGACAACCAGCAGCAGCCCAGATGCTGCCCCTGCAGGGTCTCCCTTGAGGGAGATGCAGAGCCTCCAGTAAACTAGTAGATAAGCTGGTGCTGGCAGAGCAGATGTGCTGTTCACTGGCAGGGCAAGTGCTCCGGGCTCTCCCAGGGCCCTCCTGTCACTCTCCTCCCCTGCTCGGCTATGCAACGTGGCATAGCCAGAATAGTCCCTATTCTGGGCGCCATGGACCAAGCCAGGAGCTTATGGCCACACTTGGGACGAGCTAGGGACCTCGCAGCCTGCCAGACCTGCATCCAGGGGTAGTTCTAGGTGAGCAAGCCCTGTGCAGTTCCATTGCATGGCTGGCAGGGATGATTATCCAGTGGTGCTCGCAGGAGAACGCAATGCAGTTGCAATATAGTAACTTTCCAAACAAAGTATTATAACTCCCTGCAGCAAGTCCGTAAGAAACTGTGTCCCCAGAGGGACTGGCAAAAAACGCTTCCTCCCGAGTCAGTTTTGTGTGTATCTACATGTAATATGAGATTTGTAAAGTCTTATTAGTACGTGTAGATTATATATATATATAATTGTGCATACTTATATGGTGATTTCTTATGGCATTGACTGTTGCACCATGTTAAATATATTTTGGTTTGGTTTGATGACTCTCTTTTGATGTACTGTATTTATTCCAGCTCCAGAAACAGAAACATTCCTTAGCACTGACCTGCTGCAAATGACTGCATCATCAGGAAGGTCGTCTAAACTTTTCTGAGTTGAACTTTTTAAATGGAAATACTTGATGTAGGATTTATGTGACATTTTCATTCTGACAGCTTGGCATTTATTGTAGAAGATAAATAGCACATATGATGTTCTAGTTTATCACCTTTAAAAAAAGAATAACCTTCCCAGACATGCGGAGGTGCCATGTTTGTGCTTGGGGTAATGTTTATAGCTAGACGGGCGACAAAATCCTAAACTGAATAAAAAGTCAAACTCAGAAAAAGTCTAAACTTAGATCCACCCTCCAGTGACCAAGTCCCTGTCCCCGTTCTGTGCCTCCTACCAATTCCAGAAAGAGTTTAGAGATTCTGGGAATGAGGAAATAATCAGATCTGAGTTCAAAGCTCAGACCCATCTCTAATTTACTTTTATTCTTAAAATGGAGTAAGTGCAAGTCTGTAGTATGGTTCCCTATCATTACACTCACAGATAAAGTTAAAACCAGCACATATGGAAGGTTTCAGAGTTGGAGGAGGCTGCAACTTCAAGTAACAGGCTGGAATATTTCAACACAATTTCTTATGGAAGGAGGTGGTAGGGAAGAAAAACAAGAAAAGAGAAAGGATGACATGGTAGAAATAAATATAAATTAAAGAAGAGCAGAATTAAGATGCAGCTAAGATAATTCTCAGGTGAGCAGCACACCTCAGTTATGGCAAGCTTACCCCAGACACAGGCAAAACGAATTTCAAGCCTTCTTGTGTAGCTGCTGCAGCCACCTGTATTGGTATTTCACCATTTGACATGGTCAGGTTGGCCACATGCATTTGAAGACTGTGTTATATGTGGGGCCTCAGAAGCAGCTGTACGAAAACAATGTTGTTAGTTGGCATGAACAAGCTCCAGCAATGCCATTGTATGCGAAAGCCACTGTGGTGGCTTGCAGCTTGCAAAGGGTCCTTGGCAGGGTTTGAAGAACCAGAGGATATCTGCCTCCTCCTTCCCTTTCACTGCCCCTTTCACTGGGCTTTGGGACATATACTTGAGAATCTGTCTCCAAGCTGTAAAAGCCCCCACACGCACAAGATTGCCTCTGGGCTCCCTGCTGGTCCTTGCAGTTGCTGGAGGTAGTAACTGGAAAGCTGGGAGCGGTTCCCATCCTGGCCTGGGACTGAATTTTCTGATTTCAACAGATTATCAGTTCAGGAGGCAACCGAGCAGCCATCTGGGGTTCCCACAGAGCAGGGTAGAGCAGAGCTACTCCTGTGACTCCTGAATGTCACTTCATTGTCCCTCTTGCCACGACTCAGCTTACTAATGCAGGAGGACACATCTGTCCTCCCATGATGGAGGGAAGAGTGCTGCTCCAGCATGAGAGAAGGGAGAGGACATGGTTTTCAAACTGGAGTGCAAACAAGGCAGTTCTATGAAAAACACTGTATAAAACAAGGGAGTTTGTATCCCATTTCAGACAGACTGTTTCAGCAGTGGAGCAGAGGGTGCGAGCCAGCAGCTTCTGCTGAATTGCTGGCTCATGTCTCCTGGTCTACAACACAGGCGCTTGGGGTTGCCTGCTGCCCACTCTTGTCCTGGAGGATCTGAATAATTAGAAATGGCTGCAAATCAGAGGAAGGTGAGGAAGTCCAGTAAGTCCCCCCTTCCTGTCCTTCCTCCCATCCTTCCTTCTTTCTTGTTTTTTCATTCTCCTCATCTTCAGAAATCTCCCATTACTGGGAATTCGTGGCTGCTGACTGTGCAGTCCTTTAGGCATTTTCTAGGATGTGCCTATGCCAGTGAGATGTGACAACAAGCTGTGGCAACAGCAAAGGTCCTGAGAGGAGGATGGCACCAGCTTATTTCTGAGCCAAGGTGCCATGTCCTCCACCTGCATGCAGGGAGCACTGTCATGGGTACAGTGCAGGACAACAAAGCCAAGTTACTTCAGTAGCACTAAAGGCCAGGGGAAAGTATTTGCCTTCAGGTCCTAAAAGCATTTCAGAATTACTAGTGCCTTTGCTTTCTGCATGGTAATATCACACTCCTCCATAAGTTTTCCCACAGCAGTTTACACTCCAACTGGCAGTGCGTACAGGATTTCAGTCCAATTTTCTTGTGGTTCTCCCTGCCTATCACTGTTGACATAAAGCCCTTCTCAGAAGATCTGAAGCCAGATTCCCTGTTAGTGAAAATCCACATTGTCCTTCTGCTCCCAGCCAAGCTGTACTGGCTTACACAAGTCTGGAGTCTGGCCTGGGTCATGCTACAAAACCTTCCAATCAAATACTTCTCTCTGCACACAAACAAGCTCTTGTTGGTGTAGGATTTTTTGGTTTGGGTTCAGGCTTGGGCAGGGGCACTGAAGTAATCAAAGCCAGTCAAAGGGTGAGGAATGGCTTTGACAGACCTTCTCTGCCTTCAGAAATCTGTCAACATTTGGGCTGAAAACTTCCCTTCTAAAACTGAAGGAAAGCTAATCAATCCCTGAATTAAAAGAAAGCTTTTCCTTATTCAAAACAGCCATAAAGAGGAGTGGTGTTCCCAGCATGAGCCTTGCATACACCCTGTGAAGTTTCCTTATCACTAATTACATTCACAACTGATACTCAGGGACAGGCTAGGCAGCACCTCTGGGCTCTGTATGCCATGGAAAAGCCAAACAGGTTTATACGGAGATTAATTTAGTATTACAAGGCCCTGTCCTTCCCTTCCTACCGCTGGGATGGTCATATATGACATTTGAATGAAACTTATTAAGTTCCTTGAAGTGCAGGCAAGCCCTGGGAATGCAGCGTGGAATTGAGCCCCTCTCTGCCACTGACTCCCTGGGTGGGCTTGGTCAAGTCACACTTCTGGTCCCAGTGTGTAGACTGGAGCTTTTCCTGAGCCCGTGGGACCAATGCAGTGTAGTAAGTCATCACTCCTGTAAAGCTGCTTGAAATCCACAT